AAGCAAGCAAGTAAGCAAGCAAGCAAGCAAGCAAGCAAGCAAGCAAGCAAGCAAGCAAGCAAGCAAGCAAGCAAGCAAGCAAGCAAGCAAGCAAGCAAGCAAGCAAGCAAGCAAGCAACCCACCTTTTTGATATCTCCTTTAAGAAGAAGGCCAACAGTACTAGAAGCTGTAAAGAAACAAAAAAACAAAAATCTTTTAGAGGTGTGAGTGGATTTGTACTTCTTTGCCTCAAAGAGAAATTTGAAATCAGACAACCTGCTGTAAGGAGAAACTTGACTGCAGATCCAACACTAAACTTACATATATTCGTTTCACAAGTGTAACCAATGAAATTCTTCGGGCAGTGACATATATAGGATTCTTCGTCTTCTGTACATTTTCCTTTGTTTTTACACGGACTAGAGCTGCATGGAGTTGTAATTGTTGGARGTTCTTCTACAAAAAGTAAACAMCARYAAATAGCTTTAGCTTTTGTTTCATGTTAAAATCTGAAAATATTTATGTCAGTCTGTTCTTGTCGATGGCTTTGAAACTCGAAAGCTAGTAAATACATTTTAAAGAAAAAAACCGTGGATGAAAMCAATCGTTTTCTTTCTTAGTTTACAGGTATAGTAATTATTCCATTAAGACTTCACGTTTCTCTGGTCGCGATATAACAACTTTTAAGTCACCGATGTTATATTAGAAAGTAGGAAAACTAACTAAACTACTGGAGTTTATTCACTCGCTTTGAGATTGAAAAGGAAAATAAGACTAGCAGCCACTGTTGGTGCTGTACGAACAACATATAATATGACGTCATGTGATGCTTAGCGAGGTGCACTATGGGATTGACGCAAGTACAATCTGAATGAACACATTGTTGTATTTATAGGTTTTTTGAGAGCAGCAACGATTACTTATTTCTAAGGCATGTCTATGAGTATGCTCTAGTTTGTAGCCATGATCCCTAAAGCATTTTCGACAGCGGATCAGGTTATTTTCGCTAGGAACTTCGTCTCTCGTAGTTTTGAAATGACATCCGCCATCTTGATACTTTTATCAATACCATGATACATTGCGCAAAAACGGAGATGACGTCATTACCGGAAATAACCACTAGAGATTGAATTAATGAGCCACTAACATGGCCATCATCTTGTCTTACCATTTGTACACAGGACTCCAACATCTTGCGAATGATCACAGTTCACATAATTCCACCCGTTATGCGAACACATCGCAATCGATGCTTCACTGCCCTTACACTTAACACCAGAAAGCAGTATTTTTCCTGTCCCTTTACCAAACGAGCGTGTAGCCSATGCTCTTTGATAGCCAAGACTGCGACATACAACATTTGATGCYTTCATGTTCCAGTTTTTATTACAAACGGTTCCCCATTGTCCTCGGAAATTAATCTCGACGCGACCCTCATTGGATGATTTACCACCGGACAGACGAAGGCCTAAAAAATATCATTGGGTATCAACGCGACCAAATTTGGTTAAACTTGAATTAACTCCTATGAAAGCTAGATAATCTTAATAAGGTTATCTTGTCTATGGTTTTTAGACCTAATCGGCAAACGCGTTGCTATAAACGTTTCCACCCAATCCAAACCACCCGGGATTAAGTTTCATTGTTCGTTGTATTTTTCATTTCACAGTTTAACTCTTAGAAAGAAAAGCTATTTTTTCCACAGGATTGAATTGGGTGGTAATGTAAATGGCAACGCGTTAGCGAATTAGGTCTATCTCCTCAGTCACTTTCTAGAATTACTAAACAACCAATTTTTAAATGGTTATTTACTAAATTAGTCAATAACAGGAGTATAAAAGTTCAACTCACCGAAGCACTCTAATCCAGCATCGGCCTCATGATCCATCTTAACATCGGAAATCGTCTTGAAGTCAACGCACTGTGAAATACTTTTCTCATTCCCTTTGCATCCGATATTTGACAACCACACTGGACCTGAACCACTACYGTACATGTTCCCTCTGTAGGCACCAACTGCTCCGCCAAACTTCARCTGACGACATGCAACTGTCGCATCGAGAATGTCCCATCCGGCATCATTGACAGTGCCCCATACGCCGAGATATTTGACTTCAATTCGACCTGACACATTGTTGTGGCCTCCACTTAAACGGAGCTTGATATCTGTGGGGAAAAATATCAGTTTGATTAATCAAATAACTATCAGTTTGAGGAAAAGTGGATTTCTCCATTAAACTCAGAAGAAATCGTTACGTCAATGAAAAAAAAATACCATTGATCCCTCACTCGCCACTTATTTAGACTCCAGAAAAATCTAACCTTTGTCAACAGTCTTTGTAGAGTTGCATACCACCGCCGCATCTTGACGGTGGCTACAGTCATTCCTATCCCAACCAAAATGAGGGCACATCGAAATTGATGACATAGGACTGTTTACTKGGCATTTTACTTGACTCAGCCAAACTCTTCCAGATGCTTTACCAAAGAGGCCACAACAGGGCGCGGCAAGGGCATTGCTAAAGCCGAGCTGGCGACATACCACATGGGCGTTGTCCATGGTCCAGATATCACCACAGATTGTACCCCAGCGGCCTTGATGGAAGATYTCCACACGACCTGCCGCATCGATTGTTGTTCCAGCCAATCTTAGCCCTAAGTGAGATWACATATGAATAATCAACAAACAAATGCTGTTAATACTCCAGTTTCGAGATCTTATTTGTGCAGCCTTAACCTCGAAAGGATGTAATATATTCTTTTATTCAGCAGAGATCCTATTGTAATGCAAACACTCTGTGTACAAAGAAGACAATAAAAATTTATGCTTGATGAAGCTAAGCTTGCACAAAAGAGAATACTCCGATTTCGATTTCTTGTTTGCTCTCTGTTAGCCTCAAAGCCAAGCAATATATTCTTTTGTTTCATTGATAGCCCAAGAAAACGCATGGAATTTGAAAAGAAAGACAATAGAATTGATTTGAAATCTCACACTTTTATTCTCACAATTAGGAATATTTGCGCGCAAATGAGGCTAACACAGAGCATTGGAGAATTCGAAACTGGATTATTCGAAACTGGAGTATTGTCCAAGGGCATGCGCCAGCCAGCATCTTTTTTCTACATTTCCGAGTTAACTTCAAATATCCACTTACTATTCGTTTCAATCCGTCTGTTTTAAGATCGAAACCTACAATATCTGAGAAGGGTCTGTCGTACGACTTCCATATGTTGTTGTGCATGTACAGGCTCTTATATCCCAATTATGTGGAGAAGAATTTAGAAACTTTTCAAAGACTTAAACTGAAACGAAATTTTTAAAGGCCGCGCACTAAGATTTGAACCAGCGCTATGCATTGCCTAACCCTATGCTTTCCCTAAACCTAACCATTAAGCCACGAGACCAATTCGCTTGAGTGAACCTTAATTTTTAAAGGAATAAAAAAGAGTAAAATTTTTGATTACATTACGATGTAATTTTATATTCAAACAGAGACAAGCTCGAAAGGGTTGCTGGTGTATAATGAACCTTTGAATCTGAAGCGTTCAATTCTTATAAAGATGGTAGGATTACTCGACCAACCTGTTGCTGATGGTCGTATATAGGGTGGTTTGCTGTTCGCAGGTAGGATACTGCACTCTTCTTTTGACATAATGATATCGTCAATTGATACACTTTCTTCATTTTCGTTGTAAATACCTTCAAATATAACCTAGAATACACCATAACGTCATTAGTAGGGGCACCTGAAAAGTAGGGTTAGTAGCTGTTCCATATACAGCAATTTCAAAATACGTTGTCGGGGAGAATGGTGAACGGCGATTGTCGAAGGGAGATTGCACGACCGAAAGGGACTATGGTTACACTGTTTTGAYAAACAAMWTTTCACTTATTGGATTCACCTTACATAGAATGGAGAGACTAAATGGAGCCAATGTTTAGCACAGACTATCTTACAATACAAATTAGTTGTTATTTCCTTTCAACTRGCAAAACCCATGACTACTTTCGGTCCTGCAATCGCCATTCGACCATTRGCATTCGCCATTTTATCCGACAACCTTTTTTAAAATAGCTRWATATCTATTTCAAGAAAGGTTGTCGAAAAAAATGACRAATGGTAATTGTCAAACGGCAGTAGTCTTCTTCACGGTTCCCTGCGCCATCTTGAAAGGTAGCCTTGCCTTTGCATCGAAGCGAGACGACCGTTGAGCGTGCAATGATAGAAACCTTCTTTCACACCTACAGACAATTATTCACAGGTWTMTATCATTGCAMGCTCAACGGTTGTSTCGCTTCGATGTAAAGGCACGGCTACTTTTCAAGATGGCRCATGTAACCGTGAAGGGGACTATTGCTGTTACCTGGGTAACCATAGTCCCATGGTCATGCAATTGTCGCTCGAGAATCACCATTCGCCTTTATTGCTTTGAATTAACGAAAGGTATCTATCACAGCAGACTCAAMTCCGATCCTGCGTTTATGGATTTATTCAATAACTTGATTTCGACTTACCTGGAAACTGCTTTTGGCTTTCAAAGGCACGACGCCCTTGCCCCAGTGGTTCACTAGTTCCGAATTACTAGCGTCCACTCTCCATAAGTGAATTTCACCTGTTATTTTGCTAGAGTTTATAAGCCGAAGGTACACATTCAACTCCATGTCTCGCGGATCCCATACTTTTAATGCAAAGTACCAGAAAAATGTCATGCATTTGACCTTTGAGTGTGAAAGGGCTGGACTGAATAAGCGACCGGCTTGACCGGTTTTTGCTTTATTAGCACCGGACATTACCATGAAGGATCCTAAGAAAAGACGTTTATATTAGGACTACCGAGGTGAATAGAATCACGGGAAGACATACCACTCGAATATTTGACTACAAACGCTACAACATTTGACACAGAGTTCCAAAGAGTTGTCTTTCTCTTGTTCATCCATCAAATATGACGGCGACGGCTTCGCTCTTAAATTCTCTTGGGATTCATATGAAATTGTATATCATTCGTGCGGGATCCCTGTGGATTTTAGTTCCGGCTTCCTTAATCAAATCAGTGCCATATATAAAAAAATGGCCGATTGTTCAGAAGTGTTTTCGCTATAATTTCTGCAAGTTTCAGACAATTTCAAGTTTTAAAAGTCGAGAAAATCGCAAAAAAATCAGTCCTCACGTACTTCCAAATAATGTAAGATTACCAAATATAGCTGCTAAACGAAATACAACTTTTCTGAGGCAATTCTTTGATATGATTGAGAACGTGATGGCAGACCAACATTTAGTGGTTATTGGGGCGGAACTGGTTATGCGATAGAGCTAGGAATTTTCCATTGTGACTTACCCGAATGCGTAGTGTGGTCACTTAAAGGTCTTGGGTCTGTACTCATGTGATGTGAAGCAAATCTAAACCAATCCATGTCATCAGTGCCGTCCGCAACATTGGTATAACCGCACGTACCCTCTTCAAARTTACAGCTACCAGTGTCCTCTACAAAAAAGCATCATTCTATGAAATACATGTAAGTTACAATGATTTGGTAAAATGAGGGTTTGTTTAGACTTTTGGTTCACGCGCCTTGTCGAGGAATATTGAAGTAAATTTTCCGTTTTAAAAGGCGTATATAACAATCGCCTTTACTATACAAGATACCTGAATTTTGAGGTCCCACTTTTTACAGTTATAGATTAAACATTTTGTAATTTCGCCTTATTTTTAAGGAGTTTCAGTAGGTCCTGTAAAACGTCTGTCAGAAACTTACTCCAGTCTTCTGGCTCAGCCTCCTTCGGTTCAAAGGCACAAGTTTCATTCGTGCTGACTTTAACGTCATCGATGAAGATTTTCCCATTTCCTGAACTGTGAATCACTCGAAAATGAACCTGAAAATGAAATTGTTTCAGAGTTACGATTATATAATGGTCTACCAGTATTCAATGCGGTCGTGTTTTCGATTTTTCATATATGGAAAATCGAGGTGACTTCGAATGTCCATTTGCAATCCGTTTCCATCGGTTGAAAGGTCGAATCTTACAGTATCTCCGTTCATAAGGTATAAACGGATAATAAAGAGTAAGTTTATGCTTAACTCTGTTTTTTTTATATTAGGATGTATTTTTATTTTCAAACATGAGCAAAAGCTCGAAAGGGATGCTGGTGGACCATGTCCCTTCTATATTAGTTCATTACCACGAATGTCTGTGAGCCCATGTTATCGAGAGGTATCTSGGCTCTCTTCCACTTGTACCCAGAATTCCCTTCAAATCGCCACACGATGATTTCCTTGGGTGGAATTTCCTTGGTCTTGAGTACCACTCTGACGTTATCCTGATGTGTCCCATTGGTTGTGTAGTAAAAGCTAAGACATGTTGCATTGGTCATGGGAAGACTTGCGATATCAGTCATTTTGCCACGAGAAAGTGTGTTCCCTGATAGATCAACTCCTGCATAGCTTCCTGTAACACAATAAATGGCCATATAAGGAAACGCAATAATAATGTCATAATGATGTCACGTACCGATACAGTTGACGACCGCGTGAATGGTAATGATTCTTACGACGAAATAAAATAAATGAATAATCGTTGTTTAGCGTGGTGAAGCCAGCTTAGCTCAACAAAGAAGTCTACATAGCTATTTTATAGGAACAAGGATATTTCTGTTACAAAATTATTCCTGGGGCAGAATCCTATTGTTTTTCCGGACATTTTGTCAATTTGGCATAAATTAGCATTAGTAACTCCGTATCATTATTCGACTGAAGTTTATTGTAAAGGACGCTTTCTTGACTTTGTAGTTTGAGTTGTAATCAAAATTCGACTTATGCGCTTTGAATCTTTGCTCAAACAGTCTTCGAAATGAAGGTCCGTAACTCAGTCATTATTATTAAGACATGAAGTTTATTAAAGGACGCTTTCTTGACATTACAGTTTGAGTTGTAATCAAAATTCGACTTATTTGGGGGCTTTTCAGTTAGTGACTTGACAGTTTGAGTCTACCATTATTAGAGTTTGCCTATGATAACTAGCACTGACTAGGTCGTAGCACGAATAGATTTTCTTAGTCTTGTCCTTGTTTTTACCGTTTATGAATCATTAATGTGAAATCATTTGGAGGCGGAGCTTAATCTTGTGGCGGTAAATTTCAAAAGCCATCAAACTTCTCATTAACTTTCAAATTTACTTATTTGCATAAGATTTTCTAATTAAAAACTTTAAGTCGAATTTGACCAAGGAAATTCTTTATGGATTTAAACAAAATTTTGCACATACTGACTTTGGACATTTAACTAAAAAAGCCGGGTGTTACATTTTTTAATTTTTGATTTTGAAAGAAGATATAAGCGARACCATACACTAGTCTACACCGTTTTCACCCATTTCCGATATAAAATAAGCAAAAATTCGTGAGCGATTTGACCATGSAAAATGCCTACAMATTTTCATTCCGTTTGTAGAAAATGTTAGTTTAAGCCTTTATCTGCAAAAGCCGGGTGTTACATTTTTTATTTAGGTTTTAGGTTTGTCGAAAAKTGAGTTTTYATATGACCACTTTCGTCATTTTGGCCGCTTTTCTTTGTAAATCGGTGCGCTCAACCAGGCTTGACATTTGAATTTGGCGCTACTGCCGCAGTCACTCAACCAGAAAATGTCCGCTCATTCTGCCCCATGTTGAAAAAGGGCGTTAATTTACTGCTTTATACCGGCGTTTCATTGACTGCATTGATCCAAAGCGCGCGCGCGTCAGGATTTTTCCCGCCTTTTTCTCAGCTTTCTCAGCGACTGTTTTCTCTCTGCCCCAAAATCAAATAGAATATCAAACTTTCTTCATCATTTTTAASAACTACATACGAAAGTTATTGTAAATGTATTAGTCAGCTGATTATAATAAAAAAAGATGAATCAATAACAATAAAGAGATAACAGACGTTCACTAACCATGAACAGTATCAGGTTTTGCTTTACATATGAAAGAATCAGGCAGCCCATAAAAACCATATGCAGAACCGCATGGAATATCATTGAATTTTCCTTCGGATTTCCTAAAWTCGATGGACACACAATCTTCATTATTTCTGTTCCAGTTATTTGGCTCTCCTGGCGACCAAATATTCGTAAGATTCATAATAGATCCGTCGAGATAAGTCCATACATTGGTTCTGTTCAATTCCTTTACACCAATGTGATAYTGTTGYACRTATGATTTTCTCTGACTTTGTATGAATTTGAGTTCGTCTTGTGTTCGTATGTCTACAAGCCAGGCGCCCATGTTGATACAACGTTGTTTTGCCATGTTCCAAGTGATTCTGCTTCCGCGGTTTTTGAAATAATAGCAGAAACCTTTGTAGCTTGACCAACCGTCTAAACAACTCTTCAATTTAACTGAAATATTCAGAAAGCTATTTAGTGTAAATCCACAGAATAATGCAAATTTTCATTTTTATAATACTAATTCTATAATAATAACAAAGAAATAACAACAACAAAAGRAAAAAAGTTTTGTCTACAGCAAAAAGCATAAAGGAAAAGGAGTTAAGTTTACAAAGGGAAAGGATGAAGAAGGAAAGAAAATTGAAGAAAGTAAGAAAACAAGATTTAAGAAGACACAAAGAAGGAAGATAAAAAATATATTAATTGTTCACCGTTTCCAAAAGTGTTGTCTTTCAAATACTTTGTTCCTCTATAACGGGTCCAAGTTATCGACCATGCCTCGTGATAGGAGGTCTTATAGCCACAAAAACTCTTTTCAAAATCGCATGAATATACTAAAAACGTAAGAAATAACATTATAATGCGAGCATCAGATTTTCTATTTTTCAAGTATATTGTGTCATTGATTGTTTAGTTGTCATATCCCTATCTATTTTCTGTTCACTAAACGCCGTTTTATCCTTTTGGTCTTTGTCTGTACTGCCGCTTTAGCCGTCTCTGGTGACCAGGCTCCAAAACGGTTAAATCAGTCTTGCTGTGATGCCATAGCAAATACGTACCTAAGCAAATACGTACCTTAGGAAATACGTACCTTAGAAAATACGTGCCATAGCAAATACGTACCATAGAAAATACGTACCTTCCAAATACGTACCTTAGCAAATACGTGCCTTAGCAAATACGTACCATAACAAATACGTACCTTAGCAAATACGT